GTTTTGAAAAAGTAACCGAAGGTGTAGAGAACAAAGATGCTATGGATTGAATTGGTTTGGGGCTTCTTTGCCAGGAGAGCACAGGTAACTGTAGATCCTCTTCCACAGGTCAAAGGCTGTAGTGCTCTCAGTGTTGTCTCTGGAAGGCTTTGATAACTGTAATGTAAGCCCATATACAAAGTGAGGAGGAGATCACTGCTGCAACATTGGGTACATGACATTTATTCCTGTTCCTTAAAGCTCCAACATACTGAACTTGGCAAACTGGTATTTTGCTTTACTTATAGAAAAGTTGCTTATTTTCAGACACACAAGCTGTCACGTTTCCTTAGTAGTTTGCCAAAATAAGGTTTATAAAGGAGTATCAGTAATATTTTAACCTTTTCTAGAGTGTTTTATAATAGTTGTGTAACAGAGTAAATGCAGACTGTGAGTTAATGTTGAAGGCTTTGGCTCTCAAATTTGAAACGAAGCTGGAAGTCTACAAGTAACCATCTTAAGTTCTTACAGCAAGCTCATCAGAAGGCAATGTTAGACGTTAAAATTTTCACTTTTTAATTAGACAGTGATCAGTCTGGCAAATAATACCATGGGTGTAAACTACACCCATATTGTAAAATAATGGGTGTAAACTACAGTTGAATTGATTCTACCTTTCTCTATCCCTGTAAGCCTGCAGAAATGAAAGGTTCCTAAAACTGTGATGACTAGTGGCACTTCAAAGGTGTTTTAATACAGGAGTCCCCCATCTAACAAAATTTTTCAGTTGTTGTTCAAAGTCAAATCGGGCCTTACCTTTGGTTATAACTTTTGGTAGATTTCAGAACCTAATTTTAATTTAATTTTTAACATTATACTTCACCACCCCCTCACCACCACCCCACCACCCCCCCCCCCTTGAACCTGAGCTTTATAACTGGACTTCACCAGGCACGTGCTGTCTTTATGGTGCTGCTTTCTTACACACCAAATTAAGACACACTTCAAACATAGATGAAATGAAGGCTGTCATTCTGAGCTTACTAACTGCTGTGCAAGCTAAGTTAGTCTTCTCTTCCATATGACTTGTCCTAGAAACTAGCAGTTGATATCAACCTTCATCTTTCTGTGACATTTCATTTCTAAGTGTTGGTTTTGCCCCTTTTGCTGAAGCCTGGAGTTAGTTAGGTTCTTCTGAGAAGAAATGCTCAGTAGAATGGGACTTGGATTGTAAATGTCTCCCCTACAGTTCTCGCCTTTCCAATAGTAGAATAGAAATTTAAGGGTAAAGCAATGGTAAACGATTGATACGGATAGAAACAGGTTAAAGGCATAGGACTGGAGATTTCAGCACTCTTAAGACTGGGGATTTTGTTTTCTCCCTTGCCCTCACCCACAACTGCTTTAGTTTACCTGTCTGAGTTTTGGACATCTCAGTGGAGCAGTTGCATTTCTTTTCACATTCTGGACTATAACCTAGTGTGCCTTAAGCTGGATGTGGAGTAGTATGGTCAGAATTCGTGTTCTGTGGCTGTTCTGCCTTCATTTTTTACAAGTTCATGTGTGTCTGTAGTAGGGTTTTCTCGTGGGATAGACATTAGATTTAACATAGGCTTTTTAAAAAGTGTTTAATGCCGTTGAATTTTGCTTTTGTCTTAAGAGGGGGGGCAATAGATCGGAGACGTGATAGTGGCATGATGCCTGTGAGGGATACTGAGCACAGGCACAGGCTGGCCAGAGAGGTGGTGGAGTCTCTATTCTTGGAGATACCCATAGGCCAATCTGGACATGGTCTTGTGCAACTGATGGTCCTGGTGGCTCTGCCTGAGTAGGGGTTTGGACCAGATGACCTCCAGTGATGCCTACCAACCTGAACCATTCTGTGATGGTATGATCTGTCACAAATGTACTTTACCGGATCTGATCAGCTTATTCTCAGATCTGTATTTTTACGTGCATTATAAAATCTTACACGTTATACAATTTTGTAACAATACAGGCACCAGTTAATGCAGTCATTTTACAGATGGACATATTGTAACTCTGAGTTCTTTAGTACTAACTGTAGTTTTTCTGATTTTGATGTGTGAATGTTCTTAATGTCCCTCAGAAAACCAGGATTTTTCTGCAGGGCATTTGATGCTTCCCTACAGTGTCTCAGATTACTAATTTTTGAAATTTGCTCATGACATAATCCTACAGAGTTTCATAGAAAGACTAGTGCCCAAGTTACAGCAAATAAAATTGTTTTGATCCAAGTTCTCACTGCTCCAGGACATGAAAAATCTCTTGAGCTGTCAAAATACGAAAATACGTTCTTAAATAAAGCCTTCAGATTCTTGTGTAGCCTGTAATGTTTAGGGGGTTTACCAGCATTGTGGCAGGGCTGCACTTGCAGTAATCCAAGAGAGGAGTGGAAGCAGAGGCAGCATTGGCACTGGACACAAATGAATTTTAAAAGCAACCCAAAACACTGATTATATGTTACTGTTGGTCCCTTTGCACCCAGCTTTTCCTTTCTTGAAGCTGATGTAAGGAAGTAAATTAACTGTACCGAAATTTAATTTAATTTACCCAAATGGTATAATAGTCAAAAAGTGTTTTGATAAGTGTTGAGCTTTACACACACTGACCTGAATATAACTAAAGGTTATGTAGGATTGGACTTTATTTGCAGCTAGATACAGGTTTAAGCTAACTGCTTGATAATTCCTGTATAAACATGTGACCCTGTTGTACCTTCCATTTTGTTGAACAATCCCCTTTCAAAATTGCATTAACCACAGAAGTCTTAATGTGTAAGGTGAAGAGTTTTAATGGCCTTTTAGCATATGTGGTGGATCTCATCTAAAAACTCAGCAGCAACATTAATATTTTTCTATCTATCTTGTGAGTGTGTAAGAATTTCTTTTTTAGCATAAATATGGTATTACTGTCCTGAAAATGTCTTCTTTTTTAATCAGTGATGAAGAGCGATATAGATACAGAGACTATGGGGAAAGAGGCTATGACCGCCATAGAACAAGTAGAGAGAAAGAAGACAGACACAGAGACAGGAGACACAGAGAAAAAGAAGATACTAGGCACAAGTCATCTCGAAGGTTTGATTTTTGAGTTTTTTAATAGGATACGAAAGACCTGAGCAGCTTAAAAAAATAAACTTTTAAAAGACCCCCAAACAAACTGGAGTTTGTGGAAAGACTGTAAATACTTTGATGTACTAATAATTGGAGCAAGTCTGCCATATAAAATGTGGACAGACAAAAAGCAATGTTAGCCCCGGGTAACTTCATACTGAATGATGTATGTGACAGTCTTAGCTAGTGAGCAGAAATTATGAATTTGGGGAAAGATGGCTAAAGAAATGGGTCAGAAAGAGGTGGAGTGAAGCTGACATTCAGAAGCATTAACATAGGAACTGAACTATGGTTCTTAGTAAGTAAAATAACCCTCATAGTCGCTTGATAGAAATTGTTCAACTTAATACTTTTGAAGTTAGAAATAAAGGTTGAGTACAGTGAACATGGTCAATAAGAATGTTAAATCATTAAGAGATGCCAGTAGGAACATGACTTATATAAGTATTGCTATTAGAATATGGGTTACAAATGTGAAAAATCATTCCAATTTCCCAACAAAAAGTATAGGATGGGGGGATGTATGCACCATTCCATGAAAAATTCATTTTGGTGCTGACATCCAAATACTGTATGAGTTGGAGCAGGTGCCAGTTTTCAAATATGAATACAAAGGCTGTTTTTATGGTACTCTGTAATGAAATGATGCCTGTCATGCAATTGTTTGAGTGATTTTTTTCTCTCTATTTAGTAACAGCAGACGTCGGCATGACAGTGAAGAAGGGGATAGCCATAGAAGGCACAAACACAAAAAATCCAAAAGAAGCAAAGAAGGAAAAGAAGCCAGTGGTGAACCTGCTCCTGAACAGGAAAACACTGAAGCTGCCCCTGCGGAATAGGCTTGTGTGATTTTTGTCTACTTGCATATATATTAGTGCCAGAAATAGATTACTATAAATCTTGTTATTTTTCTGGGTATTAAAATAATTTGCTCTTAATCTTGTTCTGTTAGTTTGAAATCAAAGTTTACTTTGTTGTTTGGTTTTCTTTTTTTTTTTTCTTTTTTTTTTTTTTTTTGAAAATAAAAGAGTGAATTTTTCATGTTAAGATTCCTGGACTGACTTTGTCTTTTAAGTGAGAAAACCTCTTAATTAGCTAGGGCCTTATGCTCTTACAGTGTATGTAGGGCTTAAGTTAAGTTATTTGTGTTAAAAGTGTCTCCTGTTTTTTATAAGCCGCTGGGAAGGTCATTGTTTTACTGAATTTAGAAACAGTGTACATTCACTTTATTATATACCAACATCTGGAACAGTGTGGGTTTAGTACAACTTTTGGAATTCATATTTGAAAAGGTCCATCTTTTGCTACAGGGACAGGCAGGAATTGCAGACTCTTGTCTTCAAGAATCTTGTACTAAGGTGAAATGAAAAAAGTAGGAAAACTGGGCAAGGTGCTGATTGTTCTTAGTCTGATGGAACACTCTGATACACTTGGTAATTATGTCTGGTTTGTGTGGGTGCATAAGGGTGAATTAATTTGGATAATCATCCCTGCTGCTTTTCAGTGGCTTAAGAGAAAGTTCATGTTAGTCTTTCTTCTAGGGGTACAGCTGTCCTTGACATGATAAAGATTAACAAATATATCCTCTTCCCATTGCTAGCTTGTGAGGAAAAGTTAACACTTCGGAAAGTGGTTCATTTGCAGAGAAAGGCAAAGAACTATTTTTAGAAAAAATATAAGACTATCATCACTAGCAGAATTACTCCATGCAGAACAGCATTGTGTGATTGGCATGGTGCTGTTTAGAAGACTTACTTTATGGTGTTAACAGAGTATGCCCTTAAAAACAATAATTCTGTATAAAACCCCTATATTTAATAGTATTAATCAAACCAGGGAAACTGGGTTGCTTGGTTTTGGATGAAAAGAATGTCTGTACAAGTACACAGTTACAGTTATTTTTTAATTATTTTAGAAATTTAATTCACAGTTTTACAGACTAACAGTACTTGAAAGTCTTGAAAATACCAGCTTCATGCTGACCATGAAAAGATACACATAATCCAAGTGCTATTACTGTGTTGGATAAAAACCTTCACCTCATTTTTGCAACTAGAAAAAATGGCAAGAAATTGTTCTGTAAGTTATTCAAGGATTTCTTTTTGTAAATCAAAATAAAGTGAGTGAGCAGGAGCTGCTCCTCCTGACATTTCAGTATTATTATAATGCATTAAATATACATATATATATAAAAAAGAAATACAACAAAAAAAACCCTTAAGAATATGGGGAAGGAAAGGCTTAAGTCTGTAACAAATCACTCCGAAGTGATTTTCTGACAGATGTCCCTGCTTTGCCTAAATTTGACTTTTCTTGACATGCAGATTGAAATTTCACAAACCTTTTCTTTATCAATACATACTTGACCTCCCCCAAAAGCAAAACCTGATGTTCCTCTCCACAGAGTTGTTTTATAAAAAAGTGCCAGGCCAGGACACAATTGTGAGAGTAATTTTCCCCTTCAGTTCTTTGAGCATCCGTGCCAAGCAGGCATGCAGCATTCCTGATGTGTTCCTGCCATTGACAGCAAGGAGGATGTCGCCACATCTGAAAAACCAAAGGCAAATATGAGAACAAGTTGAACGAGGTGACTTCTTCTCTTAAAAGTTTGCAAATGCTAAAGCATGTGCTTGAGGTGGGAGGAAGGGGTAGAAATGAGTATTTCTATTCCTTCTCTAGCTAAGTACTGTTCATGAATAAGGGAATAAAGCAGATGAAAATACTTGGGTGTTGTTTTTTTTGGTTTTCCACTTAGAACTTAATTAGGTTTGAAAGAAGATACAGTCCTTTCAGATAGGAGTGATCCATGTTCTGAGCAACCTATGTTTTTTAAGACTTCTCAATTGATGTAAGTTTGCGCCATGATTCCGCATTCACTCTCTTAAAATGTATTTGTGTTTGCAGAAAAGGTGGTTGGTTGGGTTTTTTGGAGCTGGGGGGTGGGGAAGCTGCTCTGAGCTGGCATGCTTTGTGCTACCCCAGAGATCAAACTGACTTATCTTTATTCTTACTCATATACTAGTGATTGCAAGGCAGCTGAACACATGCTACTATGAAGGCAAATCTATTAAAGTTCAGGACACTTACATCTTATTTCCATATCTCGCAGAGTTAGTTCTGTATCAATGAGTTTTCCCCCCCACACACAGAGTCTTCATGAAAATTAGTTTTAACACCCCTTCCCCCACTGCCCACCAGTGAACTAGATGAAAGACTTAAATGCTACATTTCATTAGTTATCTTTACCTAATTCTGCCATCATTATATGCCGGTGTCCCCCCAACGATGGATTTGATGAAGAATGGTTTGTTTCCAGTGTGTTCTTCATAACCTCCTACGATGCTGAAGCCAAGACTTCCAGATGTATTTCTTCGTAATACGATTTCTTTGCAGCTGTACAAATACCTGAAACAAACCAGACTAGTTAAATGTCTTAACTTCAGATTCTGATAAACCATTAATGATGAATCTGCCTTTTCATACACCCACAGAGTGTCTTCAAGGTACAAAATAGCAACAGAGTTCCACGGTATTAGCCACCAATGCTTCCTTCTGTTTTTTGTACTGCTGCTTGCCACAACCACAACCAGTTTTATCCTGAAAGTAAAATTACTTGTAATTTTGGGGTTAAAATAGCAAATAAATTGTTTCAGATGGTAAGAATTTATGCAAATAATCTAGCTGCAATTGAAAGTGATGGAGAAAAACTGTTCATGAATAAAGGAATAAAGCAGGTGAAAACACTTGGGTGTTGTTTTTCCCCATTCTTAGAACTTAATTAGACGGGTTTGAAAGAAAATAGGATGTTGTTCTTAGATGGGAGTGATCCATGTTCTGAACAAACGATGGTGTTTAAGACTTCTCAGTTGATTTAAGCTTGATCCATAATCCTGCATTCACTCTCATAAAATGTATTTGTTTGCAGAGGCAGTGGTTAGTTGGGTTTTTTTGAGCCGGGGGGTGGGAAAGCTGCTCTGTGCTGGCATGCTTCGTATTACCCCAGAGATCAAACTGACTTATCTTTATACTTCCTCATATAAATATATGCATATATCTATATATGTATATAGATATATGTATATGCATATAGATATAGTATCTATATATATATGCTAGACATAGAAACTCAACTGAGACTGCATTTAATATTCATAAACTATTATGCCAAAACCTGTATTTCATTTACCTTGTGTTTCATCAATACATCCTATGACTTGTTTTATCTTCCAGATAAGAGTCTGTGTGTGATTAACTGTGTCAAAAGTGGGCAGGCATTTATTATGGTGGCACATGTTGAAGCTAGGTAATTTCAAGGCCAGTGAAATGGGCCAGAATTACAAAAATCAGAGATGACATGGCGTGGAAGATGAGAGAAACCTATCCATGCCAGTCAGAGCTTTGGAGTACTGAGGCTGCTTGTTCTCACTATAATGATAAACACAAGATTATTATGGTAAGAGAACTGAAATCAGCTTCTCCCTCCGCTTGTCTTTTGAACATATGATACTGTAAGTTACGCTGATTCAAAGTTAGCTGAAACAAGGACTAGAGGAAAGCAAGAGTAACAAGGTTATTAGGGTCTTATACTTTACCTATTGCACTTAATTTCAATACCTGCTTTGTTTCCTTTTTCTTAATCAAGCAGGAAAAGAAGAATTAATTTCATTATTTACAAAGCAACAGAAATTTTTATCCATAGCAGTTCACCTACTCATTGTTAGTGGTACCCAGGAATGATTGAAGAGCCTGAAAATCCTTTTGCTATTCCAAATCTGAAGTTATAGCCTAGTCTATGGCAAGCAACTGTTACAAGATCTATTCAGAGACTTAAGGTTTCTAAGAAACAGCTGACACTTCTTCTGTAGAGGGATAAATATCTTAAAGACCAGTATGTCTAGCTTTTTAAAAATTTTATTTGTCAAATGATGCTTTTGCAGTATTTCACAGTAGGGCCTTACAGTAATACTAGATTAGTCCCCTGGGACCTACAAATATTCACCTGCTGCCAGGGTGGTAGGTATATAATATTTGCACAAGAATTCACTGGCTGCTAATGTAAGAAACAGGTGACATTTGCTTTTTTCCTTAGCAGCCAGGCATTATTACTTTACCATCTGTGGACTTCTTTAATCTGCAAAATCACTTAAACCCTCTATGTTTGATGGTACTTATCAAGGTCATGACCAAGTGATGCCAGGATTCAGCTATTAGTGCTCTTACCTAGTGTTGATTCTGGGGAGCAGGGGCCTGGTGCTACACTCAATGCCTTCGGGAGGACATTCAGCTAAAGCCTAACACTATAGAAAAGAAATACCTGAGCAGGTAAAGAGAGGAGAACAGAACACAGTGAAGACAAATGAGGCTTACATGCGTTCTGTACCTGCAGTCTGTAAGGCTACTGATTACATGGTCTTCATCCATCCAGAAAGCATAAATTGTTATTAAAGTGTGTGCTGAATCTAATTAAAATAGACACAGCATACCGGCATCAGGACTGTTCTCTCTGCCTAAGTAGAGGAAACACATGGAAAGCTAGGAGCAGCAGAGAGCTGCTGCTGTCCTGACTCTAGCACTCTGTGCTGCCTTTTGTCTTACTGAAGGGATAGGGTGTAACTGGCTGTAATGGCAAAGAAGTGAGGTAGGCAAGAGGAGAGGTGCTGGGTATGGGAAAATGGGAGGAAAGGGTTTTTCCCCAAGTGTTTATGTGTTTCTTTTTTTTTACTCCTGATACCCATGTTGGAAATTAAATGTTTTGAGTTAAATTCTCCAACCACGACTGTTTTGCCCTCAACAAAATGGTGAGTGAATTCCCTGTCTTTACTTTGACCAGTCAGTTTTCTTGCTCTTCTTCTTCCTATATCCTCTTGTTGGGGGTGTTGGATTGTGTGGGTGCTTGGTGCATCCGGCGTCCAACTGCTCACACAGGCCGTAGCCTGAGGAGTGGATAGGTGGTGTGGAAACAAAAGCCCCAGTCTGTGTGTTTTGATCCAGTTAAACTGCCATAACTCACTAAACTGCAGCTGGTCCAAGGAGAGCCATCTTCTGCCTTGGAAGAGAGCAGCTCACAGTGTTCTGCCTCTATCTTTAAATACTCTAAAAGCCGAGGACAAGGAGTAATTTGTGTGTGAACTTGCCTCAGATTCGAGGATAAACAGTGTCTAGACGCAGGGTCCTATCGTAAGAAATAATATAACTGAGCATCAGTTACTCATGCAGAAGGAATTTAAAAATGCCTGTTTTCAAGTAGTTAAATGTACAATTCCTGCTGCTTTTTACAAAGAAAGAGCCTTATGCTCTGGGAATGAAAACCAGCCTGACTTCAAGAGGGCTTCAGCAATGACCCCCTCCCACTCTCCCACCCCATTACAGTACACAAGTGGCAGTGGAATTTGGTAATATTTGCTAATTGCTCCCATCAGAGCCCTACAACCTGAATGGACTTAATTTGGGGGAGTTTCTGTCCTAATTCCATGTTTTATGCCCAGTTCTACCCCTGGTTTGCAGAATGACTTTGGCCACCTCCTATCTTTCTCATCTCATTCTGCAGATGAAGAAAAGCACTCGTGCGAAGTACCAGTGTTTGTAAATGTTATGACAGGAGGATCTATAAGTTATTTTTAAGTGCTAGCTGGGGGAAGGAAATGTGAGGAGAGCAAAGAAAGAAGAGCAGGAAAACAAGCAAGAGTAGAAGAAACATCATGGGGCTGGGGAAACACTTTTCACCAGCTGCTCCGCATTATTGCCTTTGTGCATGCTTCACAACAACATTTCCCTCCAACAATAAAGGCGACCTGTCTTCCTCAACAGCAAGCAATTAAATTAGCTACCCTGAAAGCCTTTGGGCAGGAATGCTTAAGGTCCTACATCACTGTTTCCTCCCAACACCCAGGCTGCAGCCCCTCCGCTCGCATGCAGGCCAAGTTTTGACAGATGTCAGATGCACATATGAGTCTATTTTATAACCACCACACACACTGGATTGTGCTACAGAAAGGACAGAGGAGCTGTTTATGCATTATCAAACCATAGAAAAGTGACCAAAGCCAGTTTTAAGATCTCACTAGGAAAGGGACAAAATTTAAGTGAGATGTACAAATGTTAAATTATGCCAGGTGCCTTTTCCAGGGCTTTGAGTTTTGATGTAAGGAATCAGATAACCTCTTGGATTCTGCTGCTACTGACCTAAGCCAGAAAAATTGTATAATTCCCTGACTCTCAATGTTTGTGTCTCTTGGCTCTGCCCATCTCTGTAACAGGTATGCAGTGCCTGGGAAAGGGGCAAGTTCTGCGCTAGCATGGAGAATGAGGCATTTGCAGTACCCCAGCCTCGAAAGTGAAGAAGGCACTTTTAATCATGTAACAATTATTAATGTTAGCCTGTTTTCTACTTCATCAGTCATGGATAGAGGTCTGTACACATCCTCTAGCATTTAGCTCAACTCAGCACATTTTATGGGACCATCCTTCACAGGATTTTCACCAAAACTCTGTGTGTTTGGAACAGAAAAGGGGACACTCTCTTATTCCCTCAGTTCCCTGAACCTGAGCAACCTTTGCCAAGATGGACCTGTCAGACATCTATTTGGACAGAGAATAATTTTCTCTAACAGCCTGGAAAACATTGTGAGACTGCTGGCAATACCTTGAGATCTAGTGGGATGTGATCCATGCCAAAAGCAAACTGAAAGCCAGATAAGGAAAGGTTAAATGCTCGACCTGGAGCAGAATGAGTTAATGTGGTACACTGTCCTAGTGAGAGAACTTGTTGAAGGACTTCCAGATGTCTGGTGTGGGCCCTGGAGAATCAAGAGTGAGAGGGTAAGTGCACTCATGCTGGGGAAGACTGAAGGCTCTGATAATACCTAATGAGCAAACCCAAACCTGATCCTTGTGCACCTCTACTCAACCAACCAGCTACTAATAAGAATGCAGTGCCCCTGTATTACCGTCATGTCTCATCTTTGCTGGTCCCTGTCTTAGTCTGATGTTCAAAGCAGTGTACCAGCTCAGCATACCAATCTCCCTACTTTTCTTTGACAGAGAAGGGCTGTGCTGTGCTCTGTGCACAGCATCGCAGCTGGGGATAGAGTTACAATGAACTCCTGTCTTCAGTCTTGCTGACACTAGGACTGATTTTCCTTCAGACTGAAGGGGTGGGAATGCCTTCACACAAGCAGCCTTTGGAGGAAGGGGGACAGAATGAGCTTAGAGACCGCTTTTGAAATAGAAAAACACCTTTTCTTCCAAAACTGCAAAGTGGAACTGCCTGATGTGAACCCTGGGTGCAAGCCTGCAGTACTGTGGAGCTCTGTCCTCCATTTCCGTCCCCTTGCTGAGGACATGGGGACGCGAGGCAGCTGTGGGTAGGCGATGATGGCCACGAGATTTTCTATACAGCCCAACAAAGGCGGGTTTAGGGCAGGCAGGGTGCAATTGTTTCAGTCCATCTAGCAACGGATGGTGATCGAAGGTAACTCAGCATCACAGGCTGCAGCCTATAAGACCTCTAGTCTGCTTGCTGAATCTCTGCTGGAAGCATTACCCATGCCCCAGTGCCTTCTCAGTGCTGCTGGTCAAGCTTAGGGGTGCAGAAGTGAGCAGAAATGAGGACCTCCCTGGGCCTGCCTGTCTGCAGCAAGACTGGGTGAGAAAGGTTTACAACTGCCTGGGGTAGCAAGTTAGAAGCCATCTGTTTACTGCTTTTCTCTCAGAGGAATAAGGATGTAGTCCTCTCCACTGCAGGAAGAACCTTTCATCTGTGGGGGACATCACACAGCCTGCTTTCTGCCCTGGCAATGCTCCAGCATGTGTGACACAATCATTACCCTCAGACCAAGCACCAAAACACATCTGGCTCTCACAGCAGACTTTGCTGCAAGGTGAATGAGGTCAAGAGCCAGGAGGAAAAGCACGTAACCTGGCATGCAAGACAGGGAAATGAAGAGAAGTCCTGAAACTGTGCCTAGAGCAAAAGCCCACCTGCCCTGCAGACCATCTCTTCATGCCATCCCACAAAAGAGAGCCAGACTCTGTGAACTGCTGACGGGGTTAGAAGTATGGGCAAAAGTAACTTGTAAGCTAACTTCTTCATGCCTTAAACACCAGTTCCAACTGTGTGATACTAGCTCCTCCTGTGCACAGATTCACAACATGACCTCATTGAATACTTTACAGAATGCCACTGAAGCTGCAGGTATACACCCTGCACACCGAGTGCCTTTGAGAGAACTTAACGACATGCAACGTGGCTTTATTATCCTTACTGAAATGACAACACAGCTGCTTCCCGTGTATGACAAACATACTTCTTTCAGTTGGGGGTGGGGTTAAAAGAGGTGATTCAGAGCCCCAGCCAACTGCACGCACTCTGCAACATCTGGGTAAAGTCAAACAGTTCAGCTGGATTTGGCTAAGGAGAAGGGCTATGCAGCTAGAGAGCTGAAGGAAGGGTAGCTCTGCCTTCTGCAGGGTGGTCGAGCCTAAACCCCAGTTCAGCAAGCTCCTGTATCCCTGCAACCTTTTCTTTTCACTCCCTAAGTGCCTGACATGTTTTAAAGATTGGAACAATTTCGGATCCTTTCCTCCTTTGCAAGGGGATCTGCATGTCTCTTTTGCCGTACACACATACCCATTTACAAAGGGGAGGTATTTAAAGTCTGTGACAGAGCCTGGATTTAATTAAGATGTCAGTGCAATGAATCAAGCCAAAAGAGAGCTGCCAGAAAACACAGATCTTGCCTCCCACTCCCCTTCAGCAGGAGGATGCAATCTGTAGACTTACCGTGGCAGCCCCAGCCACATCACCCAGGAAGGTGACCACTCGCTGCTCTCGGAGCTCGCCTGCATGGCCTCAGGGGCTGGCAGCTGGCCCTGCTCCTCCTGGGCTTCGCATGCTCTTATCTCTAGGGCTTTGAGCACCACCGATGAGTTGGTGTTCTTCAGCAGGGCGACGGCCTCGCTCCGGCTGACCCCCGTCAGCTCAATCCCATTCACGTTCAGAAGGATGTCACCTGAGACAGAAGAAAGAGACGATAAACTCTACCAGTGTTTCCTGACCCCCATGAACAAGCCAGTCAAAGCCATGGCCAAGAAGGTGCTGCCTGATGAGGCTGTTTGTTAATTCTATCAGTTAATGTGGATGTGAAGCATATGCTAGTGAACATGCCACAGGCATGAGGGAAGACACTAGATCCCCAAACACAGAACCATTGCTGGGCTCGATGGAGGCTTCTGTCGTAGTTTCTTGTCACATCATGTCCTGCACCCAGAGCCAAACAGCACAACTGGGGTCCTACTGTACCAACAAGCTTTGGTACTGGCACCAGATGCTAATCTAGGTCTCCAAAGCCCACTTCCAGTTAACAACTTTTGTACTTAGCCTGACCTTGAAACCTGAAAACTCAAAGGTGGTTTTCTCCTGGTGCTCCCTAAGCTGAAGACTGGTGCTCCAGCTGGCTCTTTGTAAGGTTTGCTTTGCGGAATAACATATCATTATTTAAATGTTAATGCCTGTTTGAATGTCCATAAGCCAAAACATCTTTCTGAATGCCTTTTTATAATGTAGGCATGGCAGCTTCAGAGAAAACGCAAAGATGACCTCAATTACTACACAGAGAATAATAAAGACACCATTAATGTCATGCAAGAGGCCACAGTGCCAAGTGCTCTGCTACCCTTTGTGGCACACTCCATGCCAGGGCTTCCCTGGGTGCCCTGTGCACTCCAGGCAGGGGCTGTGTTCACTGGCAGTACAACATAAACATTAAGCTCTTCCTGTGGCCTGCCCCAAAGGGATGGACAACATCCTAGAGGCTGCTCAAAACCGTGGAGGCTTATGGCACTGTTATAACATCATATATTCATTTGTTTCCAATTTTATCCAATTGACTAGGCTGAATTTTCCATGCTGCCTCGTAATGAATAATTTTTGGAAAATATATCCCACTGAGAGGCAGTCGTTTCCCAGCAGGAGGGAAGAGGAAACCCGCTGGTTTGCTCCTGTTGTCATGTTCATACATAGGTTTTGATGAACAGCTACAGCTCCTGCGAATGGGAGGTTCCCATGCGTGCTAGTGCTGGGTGCTGCAACAGAGGCTCATGGGGCTTGGCTGGGGTGGAGCTGTTCTGTCCCACTTTTGGATGTCTTCACTTCCTTCTCACTCAGCGTTTCCCTCCAGCTTCTGGGCAGTGACTAGGGTGAAGCTGAGCATAAGGGATGAAGGGCAATGGAACAGGGAGCTGTGTAGTTGATGGATGCAGGGTACCAAGGTACTTGGCTTTTGGAGATGTAACATCCTGAAAATGGAGTTTCACCATTCCTCTACTGCCTGCCTATTCCCAAAAGCCACCCTGATAAAATATGCTCCTCATCTTACTCGAAAGGCTTATTCATGCAGAGGAGGAAAAGTTATTAATTTCATCACTGTGTTACATCAAGAGCCAAATGGAGTTATGAAGCCAATATTTCCAAATATGATATTTAGCCACAAGGCACTAACATTGCTTCATATATGATGGGAATTCTACTCTTCTAAATTTCTTTCAAAGGCATGAATTATACGACAAACAAGCACAAAAATTTACATTTAAAACCCATGAAGGTTGCACAATGATTTCAGTAGTTGGGAGATGGTGATGCAAGATCATTTTCTTGTGAAAAACTTTTTTTCCCTATCGGAATATGCCTACATCCTACTTCACAGATACGGTTTCTCCTGCATATTATACCTTTTCTGCCAGCTGACTTGACACTGTCTAAGCTGATGTACCCCAAAATCTGTCGGATAGCTGAAGATGTCAGGGTGTCATGCTCTTTCACTATCCCTGTTTTTCAAAGCAAGCCTTTGAACTAAAGCAGGCTTTCAAAGTCCCCTCTTTTTACCTGTTTTTATCCTGCTGTCTCTGCTGATAACTCCTCCAGGTTCGACGCTTATCACATAGATAGGCAAATCCCATTCCCGGTTAGATGCTCCGCCTGCTACAGTCATTCCCAGCGATTCTGTGTGATCTTTCCGGACAGCCACCACCTTCTCATGACAGGTGACAGCATGAAGGGTGCTCTGTGGTGGAGAAAACAGCAACCGCAAACACAGTGGGCATGGGGACCTCCCTGACAGCTGACACGTATTCCACTGAAGTGAGTGTTCCTTGAGGGAATACCAAAGCATTTCTCAGCTGCAGACAGCAGCCCAGACAGCAGGCATGACTCTCTCCAGGGCTCAGGAGTCTGCAGAGTCAGAGCTACCACCAAGATAATCCTTGCTTTAATAGTTAAAGTCAGGCACTGCTCCCACCAAAATCAGCAGTATTTTAGCACTGAGACTAATAGAAGCAGGTCCTTGAAATGTAAATAAGGAATCTGACTAAAAAAAAAATAGAAGGTGTTCTTCACATCTTTGACTTCCAGGTCACAGTTCTTATCTTGTTGCTTGCAGCCTGAATGTCATCTGCATAGCTAATGAGAAATGGTCCACCTGGGGTAAAGGAATAAAGCTCTTGGGTACAGATCATAAGATAAACACTTCATTTGCTCTCCCAGATTCTGTGTTTCTGTGTAAGTTACTGGTGGGAATACACTTAGAGAATGTGTGTTTCTGTTCAGGAAAAGAGAAGGACATTTATAGAGCGAAGAGCCAGCAACTTCCAGGGTGTTCTTCCTGGTTCTTGTGCTTAAAAGGTCTCTTTGGGACAGCTACCTCAGCTGTCTGAGGACAGACATCCCCTTATTCCTCCCCCTGAAGGTACACACTGCTGGTCATGCAATAACTAGTGTATGAGCAAGGGTGAAAGAAACTCACAGGAAAGAAACTTAAGATGGAGAGGGAGCACAGGCTTCTGAAACAGCAATAAACTGAATGTCACGTTTACAACACACCCAGCTCTTACAGAGGAGTTTGAGAACCAAGGAAGCTTCTCCAGAAAATCTGGAATTTAATGTTAATTGCTTTGATTGCCTTAAGTATCAAGTTTGATTGCCTGGTATCGACTCCTGAAGATCCCAGCCCCTCTTGTAGGTGCAGCACCATACGTTCCAGGCGCACATGTAGGTATAATAGAAGGCTGCTAAATAAATTTAAAACGAATATTAAAAAAAACCCCACCATCCTTCTCATTCACAAGTGTGACCTCACATTAATAATTAGCAAAATTAATCTATAAAACTCATTTAAAGCCATATTAATCTCTTAGAAATCTGAGATCCTACAAAGATGTTCCACCTTAATTCCTTGGCCAGCAGCACCAGAAAGTGGAACAGGTCAGCCCACAGCTGCTGCCACAGTGATGATGATGAACAAAGGAAGACAGCAGCAAGAAGTTTATATGGGAATAGGGCAGGCTATATCTTTGGTTTGTGTTTTTTTTAAAGATGTATTTGGTGGAACTTGCTCTACATCAGGATTTCCATGATGCAACACTGACATCAAAACCCAGAACCTTCTAACAGCTTAGCAAAGGATCTCCAGGTGCACTAGCAGAACAGTGGCTGCCACAGAGCTCCAGGAACAAAAAGGCAAAGAGCTCAGTGGAAAAGGTCTTCTTTTAGTCACCAAGACAAAAACCAGACACAGTTGTTTGGACCTATCACATCTAGTCCATGCAGAACACAAGGCACTGCGTCAGAGCAAATGAACCTGAAAATTTCTGAAGGTTTTACAACATGCCCTTTTAAAAAATATTAATGTTCTAGTCAAGATAATTTTAACCTTTCACCTTTGTCTTTAAGGTGTGTTTTAAACAGCAGTTCTAGCTTTGTGCAAACGATACTTAATGTTTTATCCATGTATGTGCAAAAGTGTTATTTTTCCTTAGAAAGGAATGGTTTTCATCAGGAAAAGGCCACTTCCTGAAGCATGTGGGATAGGGGCAGGGGTAATTTTCACAAGAATGCAATCTGAAATTTTGCAGCAAAATACACAGTTAGAATTAGACTTGCAGCTCTGAGAGTTCAGAGCAATTCTGTTACTTATGCCATGTCCACCATATCTCAGACAACAAAACCATTAGCTGATAAACCGGCTAATGCTCTAGTTCTGAGGAATCATGGAAGGGAAAAACAGATTTCAAAGCAGTGCTTGGTAACAAATTGTGCTGTTACATTTCAATGAAGAATCGTAAAAGTACTGGTACTTGTATGCTCAACCATGTAGGACCAGTTTTCCTTTGAAGCTCCTCTTCCACATGTCAGTTTTTACGTGGTTGCAGATAGAAAGGAATTAGGGCAACTCAGCTGAGTCTAAGGCAGTGATGAAAGGAAAGTAAAGCCCTTCTTAGTAAACACACGTAGAGCTTTCTTTGAGGTACAGCTGATAATGAGTAAACCAGTTAAAAGACAATGTTTATCAGTGACTGCATTTCAATGCATTCTCTTCTAAACAATTGTCCTTCTCCCTCATTTTGAAGTGCCCTCAGAGGTCAGGATTAAAAACCCATAACAGTTCATCTCCTCCTTTTTTCAATTTTTTTTTCCCTTTTCTGTATATTTACTGGAAAATAAATATTTACAGCAGATTATCACAACATCAAAGCCATGACACACGTCTTGTAGGCAAAAGACAGAGCTGTGTGTGTATGGAAAATGTACTTCACCTGAAGATTAACCTGCTTAGATGGTCAGAAAGCACTGCCTGCTCCAACAACAGGGTGACAGATTTGCTTTAAGTACTAGACGATTTGTTGGAAAGGAGTAAGAAAACAGCTCCAATTAAAAACAAGTGATATTTAATTAATGGCAAAGCTCCCACTGACTTCAAAGAAATCAAATCTGGCCTGTTTATACATAACAGCCTGGCTTAACAACCTCAGCTCCATAAGAAAGTGTTTCTGACATCTTTTCTTTTCTGAATACAGGCAGCAGTCAGAACAGATTGGGCTATGCCTGCCCTATCTCCGTACACAGGACAACAGCCCAATGAGAGCCTGTGCAGGACAAGTCTCCCAGCACACCATGTGCCTGGAATCACTGCCACCAGGGAAGGACATGGTCACTACAGAGCGCCCTCCTCTTCCTCCAGCGCCTTGTTGGCTCCATGGCTGATTGCCATTGGCCTGAAAGCTGCCGCCCCACGGTTTCCAGATGGAAGCAGGCTGTCATGAGGGCAATGGCTTGGCCAAAAGTGGTTCCTGAGCCCTCATGTGAGCAAGACAGCTGCTGGAAGCTAGAGTTTATTCTTGGTGCTGAATACAGCCAAGGCTTGAGAGCAAATTTTAGCCCATGCATGCTTTACAGCAAGAACTGCTTCTCTCAGAGGCCATTCCCAACATGCTATTATCACGTCCTACAGTAAGCTCATGGGGCAAAACACACCTTAAAATTAATCAAATTCAAGTCAGCAATCTCTCTATCAATCACACATAATAATGCAATACCACTGACAGCAGCAGATAGCAGACTCATCAAACCACATACACTGGAAATTCCTCTGACAATAAAGCCCCTCCAACAGACATTGCCTTGGCTCAGAGGAGGGGGATGCTATACAGGACCCTGTATTCTAGGTTTGCAAGCACTGCTCCTGCACTAATGTCTATTTGAAAACAAAAAACATTTTAAGTCTGTCAAAGCCTACAGTTTGAAGATGTTGAATTGCAAACCATCTCCAGTTAAACCTTCAGCAAAAAAAAAGCATGAGAAATTAAACTTGACACATTCATACCCTAGAAAAGGACAAATAATAATCCAGTAATAGCTGCATCAAACCAAAAGCCCACAGTACCTGAAGCCCATCATGTCCACTGTCTGTCTCATCTTGTCATCTACTGCCAGAGTATTTTCTTTGATATAAGCCCTCTGCTGCACACACACTAAGCTAAAGGGAACTAGGAACAGCTCAGAGTTTTCTTTTTATGGGTGTGATCTTCCCTGGAAAGTACCCAAATGGTGGCATTGGGCAGAAGCTCACAGCTGCACACTCAATCATATGCTTATGTAGCACCCATCTCCTGTGGCAAATTGGAAATCCCCCTAAAAGCCAAGACCTATCCAACAAATGATGATCCATTAGTCTTTAAAGGATTACTGCAAGGTCAACATCTACCCTTCAATCTCACTACTGACCAAAATTGTGTTGGATTTAATAAGGATTCCCATCTTACACCTCTCTGTATAGGAAGAGAGAATGAGTATTTAGGGCAGTTTATGGGAGACAATGCCACGTGGTATCAATCAGATCAACACTGTAGAGCTAGGAGGTGCTTGGAGCTTCACTAGAAATCATACGGTAGCCACACAAACTAATTGCTGTCCTACACATATCCCCCTAAAGAAATCATTACTTCATTAGCAAGTAATGCCTTACAGATGCATGATTAGTTGGTCACTGTTTGCTGTTGAGTAGTAGCTACTGAGAATTGACTCTGCTCTCTGGTTTAACTCTTGCTGACCTAGTCTCACCTAACAAGGACTGTGATTGTGACTTCATGGAAAAGGAAAACTAAAAATAGATAAATAAACAGTAGTATATCTTTAACATATAAAACTACTGAATAATGTAGTTGGGTTTGTTTTGTTTTTTTTTGAAAGAAAAATGACAAATACTGAGCACCTATAGCATTTGTAAAATGCAGAGCTAGGCTTGTCTCCTCCTGGCTGACAGCTGTGCGCCCAGTCTGACAGCTGGGTGAACCCAAAGGTTTCTTTGAGGACTCATCTGGCTGCCCATGAGGCTGGATGGATTTAAACCAATCCTGCCTATCATCTCCCTGATGCACTCCTGCCACAGGTGGCCAGGGGAACCGGCTTGCAAGGGTTTGCATAAGTGCTGACACTCAGAGTGATTACTGTAAATTAGCCAGGCACATGACTCCAGTGAAATAAATTCAGCTTCTGCAAGGACATACCTTGTTCTGTCTGTAGTTGAAACTATAACATTGAGTAAACTCAGAAAAGGTATTTTCAAAGCTCTTGCTGCATTGGTTTCTGCTTTAAAACCTCATATATTTGACCATCACGGTCTCTCTCACTTCTGTGGGGCCTGGACCCAAAACACGTTGGCTCTCTGACTTATGCAAGTCACAGAAACACAGAGTGCTAGCAGTGGCCATGGAGGCCACAGCCACTGTCTGCCGCTGAGCTGCCGGCCAGGTCAGAGTATAAGTACCTTAAGAAATGGACAATGACTATTAATTACCTTAATTTTCAAGCAGCTTATGGGATTCTCTCAGGCCAGTGTTTAAAAGATTTTGTCTGAAGACTTTGCTTCAGACAGAGAAACTTCAGATAAGCCTTTTCTTTTCATTGGAGTGCATTGCCCTGAGGTGGCTCACACCGCTGCCCAGATCCATGACCATGGCCAAGATGTGGTGTGCACATCAGCCCTCTTCACTGCCCTTCACCTTCTCCTTCCCTCCCTATTCTAGGCAGGGTCAGGGCAGAAGCAGTGCATAAATAATGAGGAGCACAGCTTTTATGTTTCCATTGCAAAATAAGACATGTTTCTTCCAGTGACAGAAACCAGAGATAACACCCAAGACACCAGAACTCTCCTTGTCCTCCCAGTCCCCTGTCCCATGGATGTCAGAGCAACCACACAAGTGCTCATGTCCTCACCTTGCCGGGGTTGTTTCTCTCGGTGGGACAGGGCTGAGGGCTGGCACTGCTGTAACTCCAGCCTGTCTCCTGCAGGATGTCAGGGGGCTGCTGCCTGGTCTGCCGCGACACGATGAAGTGAACCTGCTTCTCACTGGCCTGCAGGGAAAGGTACAGCATGAATTCCACCACCCCGGCGCAATAAACCCCTGCACATCAACCCCAGAGGGCTCACATGACACAGCTCCTGTTCAAGCGTAGTTTGGATTTCCCACTGATGTGGTTGCAATGACATAAAGCATCAGTTCAGGTCAATAAAGACCATAAAAATCTACTGCCAGCTACTTCATAGTTCTTTTGGAAATTCGGTGTTAACTCTGAGAAAACCTTCTTATCCATTCCAAATTTAGCTGTAAGCAGTAATCCAGCACAGTGAGTGCTAATCAACTTACACCTTTGTACACCACTGCAGAACAGCAATGTGCCTGCCACAGTAGAGAGATGGACAACCAGAGCTCTGAAAAAGCTCTCATTACACTAACCCTGTAATGAGGGAGGTGTTCAAGCCATGGCTGGTGGAAGTAGGGAATAAAAGATGTAACTGGGTACACCTGCATGCAACAAGCCTGATCAATGCAAGGCAGCTTAAAGAAAGGAATGTGCAACCATTTTGAGAAGTAAAATCCTACTGTACCAGAGCACAGAGAAAAAGGGAGGACACAAGCAAGCACACAGTGTAGTGGAGTTTAGGATGGGAAATTAGCACAAACTCTTGCTCTAGGAACAGAAACTGCAAAAACACTTAACCCAAAATAAGCTCAAAATGGTTCTGGGCCTTTTTTGCACAATACGGTCATAATTCTTATGTGCCTGAGAGATGCTACAAAGCTTATGTTATGAGTTATGTTTTTTTGATATTTTTAAGGCTTTCTGTGTGTTCCTGATATTTGTGTTATTAATTCTGTGTACTGGTGAATTTTTAAACAATTAATTTAAAACAACATACTGAACTGAAGTGCAGAAATAACCTCAATGCTATAGAAGCATTCTCAGAAGATAAAATATTAATCCTTTAATCTCCTGTCCAGGCTAAAGACCCTGATGCTCTGGCAGGCAGGAAGGGATCTCCAGAGGGAGTTCTGCCTGGCTACTCACAGGTTACTACTGGTGAGCTGCTCTGTATCTAATGTGGAGCCCCTGTGAGCACCCCTGGAGCTGCAGCAGTGATGCTTGCTGGTACCACAGCCCCCAGGGCATCAGACCTCCAGAGCCGGTTGTTGGTGTGCTGGGGAGAAGCTCCAAAGGAAGCTGGCACTGAACAAGCAGCTGGAAACCATACCCAGATCCAGTTGTGCTATTGAAATCAAATCTCCCACAGACAGTTAACAGAAGCCAGAGGAGGCCCCTGGGGTTTGTGTTGTTATAGTTTGGTTTGTCTTCTCTGGACCTGGGTTCAGCAGTGGCAGCTGGGAGTTAAAAAGTGCCTTTGAAAAATGTCACTGTAGTTAAAAACCAAAAGCAACCTACCTCTCCTAAACCTCCATCTTCAAGCCTGAAATCTCCATGTTCAGGCTGTGCTAACTCCAAGGACGGTGATATCTCAGTGAAAAAAGTGCACTTCTTTGTTACTTGCCCAGTATCTTGGGGGATCCCAGTTTTTTCACAAGGAAATTTAATCTCCACGGATCCATTATACATCATTTGATGCATACACACATATTTCGCAATAACTTTCTAGGTGTTTTTACCATGTCTGTTTTTATGGAATGTTAATTCCTGGACTACAGACTCAACTGGTACCCAGAAGCAGAATGCTGTGTCTCTGATTAAAGGAACTCATCTGGTACCCAAAAGCAGAATGCTGTGTCTCTGATTAAAGGAAACTGCCCTGGTCCCTAGTTGTAATATCACTGAGATAGACTGGACAATACAAGACTAAACCTCCTACGGGCACATGGCCTCACAAAAATCAGTTTTCTCTAAAACAAACAACCTCAACTTACGCAACTTCTGTTTAAAACTCGTCTGCTGCCACATGGTTAGGCTCAAAGTTGGTTATTTAGAGAAAGGTTGTAAATGTGATTAATTCCATTAGAATGACTAGCAAAAGTTCAACAAGAGTCTCCACTGCAATGTCGCATTTGTCTCCAGGTCAGTCAGGTTGAATAATTTCTCAGAAGTCCAGAGTGCCTTAAGAAGTTACCCAAACAACAAGACCAGCTTTAGTATTTACGTACTTCCAGATAAAACCCATTAACACATCAGAATATTAATGACTGCTTCATTCTGACCCCTGCTTCCCTCGTAGTACTTGTCTTTCCCACAATTCCTTCTCTGGATATTACGCTGAAGCAAGAATTAAAGAAATGAGGTTAGCTTTGAGACTGAATACAACAAATAGCTGAAACAATCTACTAGTATTAAAATTTGTCTTACAGCCAAAGCAAACCAAGCAGGGAGGCAGAGACCTGGTGGCAGCTTCTGAGCATCTAGTAGGCAAGCGACTGCATCCTAAAGAAAGGCAGCAGTGCTATTCTCAGCAGAAGCCGCCCCATCTCTTGCGGGGATGATGGAGCATGGATGTGCTCAGCATCACAACCTGCTTTCTGCTGGTGGTGGTTGTCATGATGGAGACACATGTGTCTGTCACAGCTGCTCTGAACTGTGGTGGGGGAAAGAGGGAGGGAGGAGGGCGAGGATCTGGGGGCAGTAAAGTCTGGCTCAACCCTTGCAGCTCAGCTTGTTGTGCTCACATGAATGCCCACTGATCTGTTACCTTGTTCCTCTTCTTGTCACTCTCATGGAAAACAGATGTGGAATGTCACGTTATTTAGACTAAAAGTGCCACATCTGACACAAGGCCATGACTAAAGATGATGCGACAAATGCAAAGCAGCAAACTCCCAAGTGTCACGACGTGTGCACGTTCCTAATTAGGACGTACATGTTTTCTTCATTCCAGTTCTTGTGGCTGAGCTTATAAACAGACACCTAATCCACTGATTCAACAACTGCTTCACATATGCTAATATATAATTGCTAACGGCCTGGAGAATCAGATTCATCTCAATTATTCATTATTTAGAAGTCAAAAGTAATCCAATTGTACAGAAATCTGATGTTCTCCCATCCGTGCTTGTCCTAACAAGCCACCACCACAACCTTTCAGTGTTCCATTTTTAAAGAAACCAATAGTATATTTGAAACTTCCACCACAACTAATTTGAAGACCGTAGTGTGCTGTGAGTGGCAGCAGACAGGATACTGTTGAGAAATCAGAGGACACAGTAAAACATCCCTTCGTGTAAGAAGCAAATGCAAACCACTTGTGGCTTCAGCATAATGGCATAACATGGAAACAGGAAAGGCAAATGATAATTGATGAAAAAAAATGACAAAAAAGACACAGGTTCCAGGAATTTTGCGTTAGACAAATGTGATTCATGGAACTCACATCAATGCAATGTAACCCAGGCTGTTTAGAAACCCAAGTCTCCCCTTTGATGGGCATGTTGTTTAAATTCCCAGGGACTGGTGTGCATTTCAAGCATAATTATAAATAACATCCACTCCTTGGAACCCAATAAGAGCTTTAGCTGTGCTTTTAAGCACTTGTGTGTGAATGGTCTCGTTAGTCATTTTTTCCATTTTATCTCTAGCTTGCATGTGTTTTTTGCTTATGAAGCATTGTTGCCTTGTTTTGTAGCCAGAAAGAACCATTCCAAGAATACCAAATTTTTAAAAAGGTTTTCACTCCAGACTTATTCCCCTTGAAGAATTTAAACCTCCCTGCCCCACTGCCTTCTGCTCCCAGTTAAGAGAGACACAAAAGTAATCCAGAAAGATGCTGGATCAGAATTTAAACAACTGGCATTACGCAAGGGGATGCCATTGTCTTTACCTAAGCTATAAACTTCCCAGTAAAAGCTGGCTACAGCCAACTGTGAACCTATGCTAAAGGAGGAATCCTTTCCACAAATGCATGAATTCGAATGCTTCTTTCAATCTGACTCATGTTACCCTGATTATACCTGTCAAAATGGGGAACCAGCCAGCCTGGTTTGACATCTTGTTATGGAGGCGTATGAAATTCTCCAATATGTGAACATTCTGCATGCCTCCAAATGCAATGTAAAACTGCACAAGTATAATAACTGCTATAAATAAAAGATACAAGCAACAAAAGATTCTTGGCTTTGCTTTTTATGTTGAAGTTTTCCAAAAAGGTAGGATGTAAAGGAAGAAAAATGACAATGTTTCTGGAGGGGAAATGAGGCAGAAGCTGACTGATTTTGGAGCTGAGAAAGGCCCAGGGCTTTTTTTCCTGACAGTTTTGTGGTAAAACTCTTCGGTGCATTGCAGAAGCACCCCTTTAGTTCTCCACACAATTCTAAATAAACATGTATGAAAGCTACAGATCCATTATTTCCAAACATCTGAATTTCCATATGCTGGATTTCAGTAAGGAATATCTACAAGATATGGATTACCTTCAGTCATGAAACACACTCATATGACAAATCACCGAGCCTGGGAGCCTGGGAGGTTGTTTATCCTGAAACATGCTGTCTATAGCCTTAGGCTGCTCTGGTTCGCTCCAGGGTTGCAGCAGGAATTACTGTGGCTCCTTCTGAGCTGGAGGAGCAAGGACTCAGCTTGACCCAGAGCTTCCAAGGTGCAGGCTGGCCTGCCTTTTGGCAGATGTAATCACTCTTTGGTGATGCACGGAAGGCATGGGAGTTTGATCTGTGCACTACAAAGCCTGATGGTAACAGGCATCACTGCAAGAGTCCATGCCCATATTCACCCTAGCACCTACAAGCGAAACCAAGGAGCTTTTAGAGTTTTAAATTCCCACCTGTGTTTGACACATCTCCTTTCCTCTCACAAATACACACACACCAAGTTTGGCCCCTCCTCTGCAATGGGTGGGACAAATCACACTGCTGGGTTCCTGCAAAGTTCAGAAACTGGGGTCAAGATGGTGGTGACAAACCTGTATCAGCTGGGCTGCACTCTCTGGACTGCCGTACCGATGGTCGTGCCCATTGATGGCCAGCACCCTGTCATTCTCCTGAAGGTGTCCATCACGGGCAGCCACGCCGCCTTCCAGCAAGTTGAAAATAAATACCCCTGGCTCATCGGCCCTGCGGACCAGCTTTATTCCCAGCTGCTCATCCGGACTGCTTTTGTTTAGCACAACATGGAAACTGTCATCCCTATTGCAGTGAGCATCAAGGGGAAGTCCACTGTTTCGGCACCGGTACCTCTGCTCTCGGAGCACCGTCAGTCGGAGCACATGGCACGGTCGCTTCAGGATTGACAGGGCATAGTTGTGAGGCACATTTTTGATGTCCATGCCATTCACCTGGAAGACAGAAGCGTAAATCAGCAGCAGAAAGACCGTCTAATTTGAATTGGCACTGGAGAAGGCAGCTCTATTTACACAGATGTCTTCATACAAAATGACATGTGCTATTTCAAACTGTGTCACGCAGGAGGCCAAGTTTGCAGTGCAGAACACTCTTCCCCCCAAGGAAAGGACGTGCTGTACAGACACTTTCTGCCTGTATTTTTCCCCTTTCTTCCTGATAGTCTCCAGACATACATGTTATTTTTCAGCTTTATTATTGCTCCTTCCCAAGCTCCAATATCCTTTCATATATCTTAGTTTTATTCCACTAGCTTCTGATTTCAAATAGCCTTGCCAGCCTTTCCTTTCACTCCCACCACTTTCCTGCTGTTTCTCTTCCTCATTATCTCCCAGCTCTTTTAGGTACAGTAAAAAGTGTTCCCACCTAACGAATCTCTAATTAAAATGATTAAAAGATTCTCAAGAAGAAGTTTAAATGCCCTGCATATTTGCTAGTAATCATGCTGATTTACCACACCAGAGAATTGGGCTTTTTATGTTTCTTAGTGTTTTCTAATAAGATTTATCTCGTATGGCAGTAAAACTGCATAACTGCCACTTCTTTAATTTGGAGGGGGGGGGGGGGGGGGAATAAAGATTTAAAGGAAGAGCTTCCAGTCAATCCTGTCATGCCCATGTGTGTAAGAGTGACTAGGCATTGCGCTTTATCACTGCTAAATGAAGACCTTTTGCAAGGTTGTCATTCACTGCTGGCTGGAAAACCCGAATCAGACAAGTTATTTTCATGTAGTTTTACACTGCACAGGTTGAACCACTTAAATATTAACAAACCTCTCCAAAGTGCAACAGAAATGTTCCCCAGCACAGACAAAAGCATTCAGCTGGCATTTGCTTCTGCGGACTGCCTGCCTGGGCATGACGGGGCTGTCCCTGCTGCAGTATGATGGGGAGACTGCACCCCTAGAAACACAGCTCAACCACTTTTAAGTTACCAGCTTGAGTACTGGAAATAGCATGACCTGCAGCAGCATGGGGCTGGAATTGCTAGGAATCCTTCCTAAATCTCTGGGCAGCTAGCCACAGCCAGGGAGAGCTTTGCCAAGCCCCTCCATGCTGCAACCACAGCTTCCCACTGCAGTTTGAATGTGCCCTGGGGGAACAGTTTTGGCTGAGTGATGCCATTAACTGTGCAGCTCTGTGCTGGCACCAGGACAAAAAGCCTCCCCAGAACACATGACTGGGTGACACTCATCCATCCAGCTACCCCTGGAACACTATTCTGAGGTATGTTTAAACACTGCCAGAGCAAAGTATGCCCACATCATGATCCTGAAAAATCCCTTTGGCCATGGTCTGTCAGACATAAAACAGAATGCATGTCACAACCCTGGTGTCCCCCAGGTGCCCTCAGCTACCACTGCAGTCACCAAAAGCTAGGAAAGCATGATGGCTTACAGGTGGTGCTCTGAACTTCAAAGGATTGTATCCTCAATAATTACATACATGGAATATGTTGTAGAAGTCAGTAGGGCTGGGAGGCCTACTCATTAACCCTATCAGCCAGGCATGCCAGAGCAGGCAGAAAGACGGGCATCCAGAGTCACACCTGGAAGATGACCCTGAGATATGGATGCCAGACCTTGCAGTCCACCCTATTTCCAGCTCCTGCAGCCTTACCCCAAAAATGCCACATGGGTTAGCCTTGGTACCAGCAGAAGTCTACCCATGGGCCATGTCCAAGTGTTCACCTGTAATTTGGAAAGCCTATGCTGAGCTCTTTGCAGTCTCTGGCCTCACTGTCGCCAAAATTTGAGCTAGATCATTTAAGTTGCTTGAGGTATATCTGGGTGAGCTGCAGCTGTATCTCTGTTTTGCAATGTGAATATACCTGTGCATTCCAACTACACAAGATCAAAGCAAGAAAAGGAACTAGTATTTTCTGTTATCAATCTTTTCTTCTAAGGACTGAAGCATTAATATAATTTTGCATCCTCGCAGAACTTCAAGTCACTGGAGCAGCTGAGAGTGCAGTTCCTATTCAGAAGCTATTGCTGAAGCAACCACTCATAAAATACAAGATCTTTAAACATCTAGCCTAATTCTTGTTCACCTGCTATACATTTCTACAGAAAGAGAAGCAGAAGTAGCGTCCAACAGCTAATGCCTGAATGCTGCTCAAGTTTTATCTTAGAGATTTCACCTGTGGCTGCTGGTGGAACAACACTCTCAAAATAGATCTGGCAGTGTCTCATACAGAGGAGGCTGAAATAACTTAACCCCGATCAGGCCCCTGCCACCTATCCTGGTGTAAGTGGGATGTAAGGCAACGGTAACCTCACTAACTATGATTTAAGCCCACAGTTCAGTAGAAACAAACTGGGCAAAAAGCCCAGCCTCCGCTTTCAGAAAAAATCTTTTGCACCAGTGGGTCAGAAATGCCAGCAGTCTATTGTGCTACATTGCACTTTGGAGCTACCATGTTTGGTTAGATAGCAGAGAGACCCGGCAGTGAATGGGAAAAATAAACAAATCCATGAGCCTCAAGCTTTGTTGAAATGAATGAAATCATCACAGCATGCAGAGGTGCTGAAAGTCTTTTTGCATGCATTATTCTATCCACACAAACAAGCCACATTGCAAATCTCATCTCAGGATTGACTTACAGCATCTTATTCTTGTACCTCCACAGTACTGTACCTTTAGTATCATGTCTCCAGGCAGCAATCTTCCATCTCTGGCAATTACCCCGTCTCGATAAATATGCTGTATAATAATGTGAACCAAAGGAGTCTCACTGCCTCCCACAATCCTAATGGCCAGGTTTTCATGGGGATCGGTACGGTTGATCTTAATGCAGGTAATTTCCCCATCTGGAATCAGGTGATACAACCTGGGAAAACCTGGAAATGCACATTTCAAGGTATTTATTTGACATCACAGCTTTGGTTTGTTAAAACATGTACTGCACAACTTCAAGCACCTGCCCGTTATCCAAACTAGGTTGTATGCATGGATGTGACTTACTAAGTGGGGAGGAAAGGACACATATACTTGCTGAGCAGACTTGAAGGGATCTTCTTTTAATTAACACATTCAAACTTCCTTCTCCCCCTCTTACCTCCCCAAAACACAGCCGTAAATCTTTGATGTAATCCAAACAAATGAAATGTACTTTAAAAGAGTTACGTGTGCTAATATTTTAAGGGAACAAAATACATTTTTAGTCACCAGAGACCATTTTTGGTGCTGAGGGCTGGGTGATTGGCTCGTGACATCCAAGGGAGCATTTTCTTTACCTTCAGCTAATAGAAAGGTTAAAGTTTCTCAGGCAAACCAAAGCACACAGCAGTTTCCCCCTAAGTGAGAGAAAGCTTTTGAATTTTTAGTGTGCAGGTCCAATCCAGCACTCATATGAAAAACCTGCAAGTCAAAAATATTAAGTGCTAATATTTTTTCAGTACCTATTTTAGAAATGAAACCACAGTGACTGTTACTGAATAGTGGTGAAGTGTTAGATGAAAATTAACAGAGCAGTATCCAAGAGAGGAGAAATATTTTCTACTACAGAATTAGTGGACAATAAAACGGCAAGACACCAAAACCTCTGGGAAGAGAGCAAACAGAAAGAAAGAACAGGAAAAAAAGTATTAAGAAACACCATGTTGTATCCCTTACCACTTCTTTGATCATATGTTCCTCAGGGCAGGGAGCTGTCTTCTTCCACGTCTGTCAAAAGCACCTACCGGTAGCACAGACTTCGACTTTGTGGTTTTACACAGAGTTGACAGGCAATAAAAATCTATCTAGTCATCTATATAGCCTTCATATACTCATATCCAAGTATTCATTTAGTTTATACTCTTGTAGTAGCAGCCTCTATGATAATACGAGTTTACTTCAGTTTTGCACACAACTTCAATGTCTCAGGAATGGAAGGTCCTTTATTTTCCCTGTACTCCGCTATTATCTGAACACTATTTGCCCAACTTGTAACTTGTGCAGTTCTCTCTAGCCTGAAGGGTGGATTGACTCCATCTAAATTCAGGCCTTTAAGCTAAATGTATAGTTTAAAGATCTACTTTTTCTCTCTTCCGTTATTGCACGTGGGCACCCAAAGGTAATGATACCCACTTCACCACTAAATCATCCCTGGACGTGCTGAACTCTCTCCACTGCTATGTTAGAAGAAAGAGGCAATTAACTCTGGCATCTCAGTGGGGTGCTTAGAGTCAGATGATTCAAGTACTGCTCAAAAATCACCAAAGGCCTGATCTCTACAGCAGGGTGTGTACATTTTACACTCTCAATGTGGTTATAAGGATATTTCTATGTAAAATTGCAAATGATAATCTGGATCCCCAGATCTAATCTGCACAGAAACAATGTAAGTAAATATCTCTGTATATTCTGAGTACTACCAAAGCAGTCCTATAGCGGAAATAATTCAATTTTCTATTGCATGATTCACCTCATGTTATAACAAACTGTCCTTTTTGACACAAGCACTCATTCTCCCGTACTTCATTCTGAAAGCTTTTCTAAAGGAATTACCTGGTCATATTTCTTGACCATGGAGAACTGTGGACTGAACAAGCTATTGACACTCTCATATTTTAGTCTGTGATTATCCCAGGGCAAAATCAGAGCAATGTGTCAGTGAACAAGATGTTTATAGAAGTTCCTTTGCATCTTGAACAATGCCTTAACTGGTTTATTAAGTCTTGCAGTGGCACTTGGCTGACTTTCAATATGACTTTAGGCAGATTCATTTAGAAGATTTTTTTAATCCTCAATTTCTTTCCAAAGTGTGCAGTCTACAACAGAACAAATCTTTCCAAGATATTTTTCTTGTCAGTCTGCAAGTCACTAAGATTTCTCTTCATAACAGATGTACTGCTTCACCTTTTGTCTTCATTTGATTATTTTACCAAATGTAGCATCACAGAATCATAGAACAGTTAAGGTTGGAAAGGACCTTAAGACCATCAAGTTCCAAGCCCCCTGCCATGGGCAGGGACACCTCACACTAAAACCATGTCACTCAAGACTCTGTCTAACCCTGCCTTGAACACCTCCAGGGATGGAGCTAACTGTTCTATGATTCTATGATTCTGTGATTCACAGCTTCCTTGGGCAGCCCATTCCAGTGCCTCACCACCTTTGCAGTAAATATAATTAATAAATTATACCATTTTCTCCTCAGATGGGCCAAGCAACCAAAACAACTCCATGATCCCTTAATTTCTGTTCTCTTCATTAAAGACTTGCCTCTTGTTTCATCCCAGAAACATACATGGATGTTTCTATTACCAACAACTTAAACTGTCACAAGTGAAAGGCCAATGTCTATTTTGATAAACTAACACTAAGCTTGACAAACTAAAGGTATAAAATACGTAAATACATATATTTTTTAATGAGAAAATTCACAATCACTTTTTCACCAGTCTGCATACATTGCGTGCAGATTGGTCAAAACCTACCAAGCCTATTTCAAGATGAAGCCATGCCTGGAAATCAGTGTCTTTAACTTGAATTTTTCTAAGGTGTATACCATACCCAGAAAAGGAAGACCCTGTTTTAGCACCTGGCTGCATACAGTGAATGGTTGCATACAACAGCCAAATTTAAGGGACTCTAACTGGGTTGAAGGCCTGTACCACTCACATATACCCAGCCTGTTGTGTGGCTGGAGCATCAGTTTGCACAGACCCATTTCCCTTATACTTTCAGTTAGAATTCTCCATTCTCTTTGATCAGGTTTTCCAGAGCAGGAAAACCCAGGAGTATTGCATACCTTTCTTTACCATTTTATATTTCCAGTCCTTAAATATCGAAGAGCTGCTGAATCTAGAAAGAAGTAAGCTTTCTGTCTTGTTTTTGGTGATTCTTGCAGGTGTTTCCACAGAGTGTTGTGGTTTTGTCACCGGGGGTTGTATGGAGCATTCTGAATCTGTCAATATAATAAAATGTCATCTGCATTCAGAAAGATTGTGTGAGCTTTTCCCTCAAGCAATATTTTATTTATATTAGTGTGCAATTTTATTGCTATTTTCACACATCCTGTTACAGTAACAAGTAACATTGGAGAGATCAGCTTTACACAGTAAACTCTGCATGTCTGGTATGATGTAGGACACTGATCGCTCATTAGGATAGTGTCCATGAGATCGTAATACCAAATGTTAAGTATGCTTAATATTTTATCCCCACAGTTTATAACACTTAATAGTAGTGTTCCTTCAGTGCTCAGGTTTCAGCTGACTTCTCTGTGCACCATGCTTCTTCTGACATTGCTGCCATCAGGATAACTTCTGCCTTCATTCCCAGTATCCAGTGTGACAAAGCACTGTGTAATGTTTGCTATGACTCTTGAGTCCAGATTAATCAAAGGTCACTATAAACAAAACTTGGTGTCTCATATTGCAAGTCCTTATTTAGATCAGAAGGTCTGACTGATGTGAGGTGCCAGACACTAATAAAGCCATCTGCAGGGACACACTCATGCTTCCCAGCACCTGGTCACCAAATTTAAATGGATCTTGTGTAACCTATTCTTGGAAAAGTCTTGTGTTTGTGACTTTGTTCTACAACTCTTCCTTCCCCATTGCTTTTCATTTAGCATTTCATTCTCCCAGTGGTTTGCCATCATTTTGATTTAACGCCTTCCATTAATTCTGCAGGGATGTTGGTCCGATGCAGGGGGCAATGCCAGCTCTAATGTCTCTTCTGGCTTCTGAACATTCATCTCACCAAAGGAGTCCCAGAATAACTAAAATGTTGAATGTGTCTCAAAAAAGCTGTGGCTATCTTATCTACAGCAGGCAAAGTTTATCAGTTTGCAGTGGAGGAAATGCTACAGAGCAAATCTTTCTCTTCTGGAAATTGCCTGGCTCATCATCCTAGGGCAGAGTGCTTTGAACCAGGCCTGTGAGGTTTCCAACAGCTGTTTTGGGAAACTGGAACTGCAACTGAATTAAATCTGAGGAAAACAGGAACAGCACAGGATCCCTGCAGGGTGCAGCTTTCCTGAGGCACAATTTGGTTGGGCTCTGCTGTCTTGCGCTGGGGCTTGATATGCCACTTTCTTTCCTGCGTACAGAGAACCTAAAGCCCATGAAATGGTTGATACCCAGAGCCATTAGTGTGTCACTTACTTTCTTTCCCTTTATGTACCTTTGTCAAACATTGAAGTATTTATCTATTATACATATATACATACAAACATATAAAAATACAACAAGGCTCAGACTGAACAGTAGGGGTGAGATACACCCATACAACAGAAGAGTCTGCTCTGTGGTCCTGCCAGTGCCTGACAGGGCTGCCTTGGCCTTGACGGCTGCAAAGAAGTAACAGATGGTAGAACTGCACCCACCATGAGACTAAGAAGAATGAATTTGACTTTGAACAATATCTGACATCCTCAAGCAATCACAAATTCAATTTATTTTACAACGGCTTGACTGCAGGATGGAACTGATGAACGCTTTTGAAGACCAGGAGCAGAGCTCCCTTGTACTGTAAAACTGTACAGAGATTTTTGCAATTGCATTCTCAAATTCTTCCCTCCTTGAGCATCAACTGGTTTATAACTTGCATTTGTAGATTGGTTTGGGTAAAGAGTATGCATCTTTCTAGTCTTTCTTGGAAGCGAATTTAGAGAGTAATGCCAAACTAAGACCACCGTGAAACAAACAAGCATAGCAACGCTGGAGCAGTCTTTGCTTGGAGATATTCTATCATTTAGCAGATTGTCAAGGTCATTTACACTAGTAGATCCAGTCAGAAGATATTACGTCTTAAATGCACCAGTGCTGGAAGGATGTCTCTGTCACCTTCCCTCATGTCTCAGAATGAAACCATCTCTTTTAAACTTTCCTAACTTCTACTTCAGATGTGGAACACTATTTCTAGTTTTAAGTGTTATTACAGAGATAACTCTCAGGTAGATAGTGCAAGCTTGGGTGCTGCACTACAGGAAAATACTTTGCATGGGTTACTTACAAAAATTACCAAATTATTAAAATGAGAAAATCTTAACACTTCCTTCACCAAAACACTTTCTCTTCAGTGTCTGCACTTTCCATTCTCTTCTAAGATTGTCTTCATTTTGGACATTGACCAGTTCTCTGATGAAAATATCACCAAAGCTTTTAAACAGAGGAACAAAGAAAGCCTGAAGCATTTAAATTCAAAATGGGTGTATATGACATTGTTTAAACAATCAAAACATAGGGTCTAAATGGAAATCATGAAGTACTCTTCACAGTGCAGGACTGCTACCAACTTCAGGTATAAGATAGCATTAGACTGTAACAATTTGTCCGCTGTAATGATAACAGAAGCACATTTGCCATTATACATCTTATTTTTCAGCTTCCCTGAGGAGCAAAGGAGCTTTCCATAACCAGTACCGCATTCAACTTCAAGTTAAGCAGAATCAGGAATATTTGAACAATTTTTTAATCCCACATCAGGAATGATTATTTTGTCATGGACCCTCACAGTCACACTGCAGCTGAGAACTGGCCCAACAGACATACCAACTTCAGATTAAAGGCACTTCAGATTAAAGGCCCCTGCATAATCTTCAGTGGGCAAATAGCTAATTTGACATCAGTACTGCTGATGCTGAGAGCCAATACACAGGTATACAGAGCTCCTTTGACCAAAATATAGGCAAAACAGATTAAACAGTGACATTTGAGCTAAAATGAGTGGATTTGGAAAACTGGGGACAGATGGGCTATCATACATTGAGCTTTGCCAGCTGAACTGACAGCTCCTATATCAAGAAGAGGTTATCAGCAAGAAGGGGATATTTCACTTGGTGCCCGGTGTGAAGCTGGCACAGTCTCAGCTTTATTCTGCTCATGCACTGACTGACCCTGGGAAGGAAAGGAGCCACAAGAGAGGTGGTGAGGTGCCATCTGATCTGGAGCAATGGCATGGCTGAGATGTGCTCTCAGGTGGTCTCAGACATGAACCTGTGAAACCTGGGGCAAGGCTGCAACAGCTTTCACACTGGGTGTGGGGATCTCCAAGACCAGGAACCATCACCCACAGGAGCACTGCCATTCTCAGGAGAGTAGAGTGGCAGTGGGGAGACAGACACTTGAGTCTTCCTTTCTACAGTGGATTTGGACTGGACCTTTAGTGAGCACAGGACAGAGCACTCTGCAGTTATCCCCAGAGTCTGACCAGCATCTCAGTTGGACCAAGAGTCCAACTGCAGACTGCTCAGAACAGTTGAGGATTTAAAAATATATAGAAAAAAAAACAGAACCAAAGAAGGAAACATGCTTCCAGCTGACAGGATGATGATAACTGCTACAGAAAGAAATATATTCATTTCCTTCTCCAACACAAAGAAACAGAGAGCCTTTGAGATGCTGTTACGCAAAGTACCTGTTGCAAAGGACTGAGTAGAGACCTTTGTTAAAGTACTTGTATTGCTGTGAGTTACTTGCATGAACTTTTTAAAGACCAAATTCCAGAACTGTGTAATCAAAATACGTTCTTTGCTAATGTAATTAATACAGTAATTCAGGAACACAGCTTCTGTGATCTCATACATAAGAATAACTGCTCATTAAGTAATTACATGCCTACCTGTTTTTTCCAGTGCAGTAAAATATATTTGGAAGTGTACAGGCATTCTTGGTGCAGAGAAATAAAACCACAAGCAGAGTCAAGGAGAGAATGAGAATCTTGACACTGTCACTGGGGCCCTGGCATGACTGCCACTACAGGGCCCCATTGTATGTCCCTTAAATATATGACAATGGTGTTTTGCATTCTACTGGAAATGTAAACGTCAGTGTCATATTCACTCCTCCTTAACGTCTGGATTGCACTGGGTTACTGGGTAGATAGTGTTGGCATCCAGATCATCCATGCACTCTGGACATGAAGCCAAGCTTTCCGTGGAACTCATGTAATATATAAACCTAGGTAAAAAGTGCTCATGAAAATGTCTATGCCCCTGAAGAGGCCCTTCTGTATTCTGAAGAGGTGTCTTTTGTAAAGTATGAACTTGAGGCATGCAGAATTTCACTCCAGCTTAGGACGGGCAAGCATTTGCTTACAATGAATTGGCGTTGTAAGTAAGTGAATGAGAAACACATTTTTCTGCTCAAAGAGAGCTGTAGACAACTTATTTGAAAATTTTTACTTGAGGAAAAATGATAAAATATTTGGGACAGTAAAGTTATTAATTAATTAGTTAAAACAATGGTGTTTCCAGGCCAAGGAGCATATTCACATCATTTTTATGGGAAAAGTTCACAATTTTGAAATATCAGGTTTTATTATGGCTACATCAACAAGTGTGTGGACTAGGAGAGCGAGTACCAAGAACACAACAAGGTAGTAAACCTCTCCTGAAGAAAGAAGCAAACAAAGCAGAAGAAATATTGAACACTGTTCTCTGATGCACCACTTCAAGAATAATGATGCCTAAACACAGAATTTGGCAGCCTTCTTGTCTTTCCGTGTTTTGCATAGGTTTCAATGACAGCTTGAAATACAGAGCAAAAGGAAGCTGGGTATTTTGTTTTCTTAAAGCCCTTACTCTGGGCATCTGGGAAGAGACGTGAGCACTTCACGCAATGGAATTATAAGCTCAGTGAACACCTTGATTAAGACAATGATTCCCACTCTATCATCACTTCCTCTTGATGAATGAATGCTAATGTTGGCTTCATAATTACGGTCCAAAGCAATTAGTAACATTTGCTTATTGCTTTGAGAATGCCAAATGGTGTTTTACTGCTTGCCAGGCCCCTCATCCTGAAATATGTCAAACAAACCTGTCTCTCCCCCATGTTTAAGAGCAAACCTCATCACCTCATCACCTGCCTGGCTGAGGTAATACAAGTCTGTCACCCAGGGTCCCACAGAAGTGCTGGAATAATTACAGTCCTTTGCACTTTCATACCCTCTGCCCACTGGGAATTTTCAGTGCTTCATAAACATTAACCAAAAACTCATGAATTTCCTATAATATATGATTGCTGTGATCCGTTTACTTTAGGAGGACAAACAGATGCTGATGGAGCCTCTTGAACAAAATGACAGAGAAAATCAATGACAGCTCCAGTAATAGATCCCAGACGCCCAGATCCCACATCCCACATGATAGATACTGGGCTGGCTGCAGCACGCAGGTTGTTTCCAGAACAGACCTACATGAGGTCTCACACACCCCAGTAGCATTCTTGCCTGCCAGTCAGTAACAGCTTTTTTAACAACAATATAAGGAAAGATTAACTTTTCTTTTTTATTTAATCATGTGTAGCCCACCACATGAAAGGCGTATCAGTCACAGACATTCAGTTCCCACATGGCTAGGGTCCCCTACCTACCTATTTTAAGTGATAACACAAGGAAAACAAAGCATTACCTTCCTCTCCAGCAGTAGAGTTTCCAACAGCCTCCCTTTCCCGGTCAGCCTGGTTGGAAACAGCGCTTCCACTTTTTGTCCTCCGAAGAACACTGAATGCCTTGTTTATTTTTTTAAAAGACCTGCTTCTGATAGTGGAGCGTTCAAAATGTCGAGCTGCAACAGCAGGAAAATCAGATCAACACAGCTCAGCAGTGCTGGGCTAGAACCTCTTCATTCCTGCAGCCACCGCCATACAACTGGGCATAAGATCAACAGCACATCACCTTGGCACCTTGACTCCAGCTGATACTCCAAGGTTGCACCCACTTGAATCTGGGTACAATTATCCTACCTCTGTCACACACCCTGGCACTGTCAACTTCCCTGGCAGTTTTTTACCAGCCACACACAAAAATCTCCTGTGAGTGTGGTAGCCTGGGAGAGAATAATCCTCACTCGAGGCAGAATCAGCAACAAACCTGTGAAAAATGCATGTAGATAGGAGAAGCTCTTTCCAAACTCTAGAACCTCAGAAAGGAAAAAACAAAACCAAAATGCTGGAAGTTGTTAAAATTCTTCTTGGAAAAAAGACCCAACCAAACCACCCAAACCTCACACTACTGCCTCAAACCCTGTAATGCTTTCAAGGGGGAGCCAAGGATATCTCCAGCAATAGCCAACAATTTCATGTCAGAGATTCAGAAATTATCAGGTGGGATAGACCAACTATGTCACATTTTAACCTGTGTCAGGCAATATAAAAAAAGGTCATAATGCTTTCAAAGAATGTTACCCTTTTTTCCATCCTGCTGAGGATATCTTCGTGGCTGTTCTGCCTCTTCAAGCTCTGCGTGCTAGCCAAACATTGTAATCTAATAATAAAACATTCCCTCAAACCAGACTGCGGCCTCTAAATTCAACAAAACTAGTGGGATTTAATTTCATTCTGGTGTTCTCTTCTCGCCCCCTCCCTTTCCTTGTTTCTCTAACCCCATGCACACAAGATGATGGCACTGCTCACTTTCAAGTCTTTCTTCAGCCCTTCACCCATTGTCCCAGATGCAACTGGTGCAACGCAAAATTCATCTCAGGCTATTCATTTGGACTATTCAGTTTGGCTGTTCATTTTGGCTTCAGAGGCCTCAAATACGAGCTCTGAACTCACTGCTAATGCTTTCAAGTCTGCCTTTGGTCAGGCCATCTTTTTCAAATATGATACTCATCAGAGCTGGGTGCAGTGTAGTAGGGTGAAGAAGGATCAAGGCAAGGTTTTCTGGTGCAATCTGTCCTTGACTGTGGCTGTTTCAGCAGGACCAGCTCCTCCAAGCTGCACCTCCCTGGGAAGCTAGCAAATATCCCCTAAGCTGCCAAGGCACTTCCTAAGGTTTGTTTTCCTGAAAATTCTTGGCAACTGCCAAGCACAGCTCACTGCAGGCTTTGGGGTAGGTGCCCATGGCACAGTCTATGGGGGTTACTTGGGCCACCGTATTTTGGTGAAGCCATTACACAGCTACACCATCTCTCCATCGTGTCACACATGCCATTTACTCTTCCAATTGATCTGACTTGCATAAATAATCTTTCTTAAGCCCTGTGGTTTGCATGTGTGCAGTTAGTCCATCTTCAGCTTGCTGCTTCCCCTGGCCGAGCGAATTTGGTTTTCACCTCAAAACTATTGGGCCACTGTCTGTGCAATTTGATAATCCATGTAAAATTAAAGCTTTCACACTCTCTTTCTGTTTTAAAGCCTCCAACAACATATGTTTCACAGAAGACAAATGCTGAAAGAGGCCACCAGGCTCTGAAACCATCACTTTTAGTTCTTACTTCTGTTTCGGTTGCTACGATGCAGGTCTCCGGGGCTGCTACCCGACTGGCTGTCCTCTGAGGTGGGGCTGAAGGCTGGGTTCACCAGCCCTGGCTCATCTGTCATTAAGGCAATGGCTGCAGCTGCTGAGAGCTCAGGGCCCAGGGCAGCTACTGCCAAGCTGGAGCCGTGGTCTGGAGAGCAGTCTTGGGAACGCCTCTTCCTTTCCTTGGTAAGGCCATAGTGGGATGCTCCTTTACATCTAAGAAGGGAAGGAAAAGAAGACATGATAACAAGTTGTATTTGAATGTTGCATACTTATTGGAATTATATGGTGCCAAAATAATTTGCCACTTGGAGTAAAACTTTGATGATCACGGGGTTGATGAAATACAGATGCTTATTAACAAGAGGGAAAGATGCCAATCTTATCAGGTCGCACAGAATCAAGAAGAATGAAAACTGTCCTTCAAAGTAGCTAAGCTACCACCTTACATGGAAAGACTACTGCTGGTCAAGAGAAAACACAGAGCCACAGCCTTGTGTATAGCCTTGTGCATAGATAATTACTATGAATGCAAGAGGACAATAATAACAGATGGCTAATTAAGCCAGAGGTTACAGACTGTAATTTCTCCCTTGTTTCTCATCAATGAAGGAGAGCAGGGTGAGGTCTGACAGCTTCTCCAGGTCTGCTCATGAAACAAAAGGTGCCTCAGGAAGCCCTGTGCCATGAAAAAACTTTCGGTCACCAAGGCAGTCACACTGGGAGCACATTGCTGTGGTCTTCCATGCAGCAGGCAGGGTCTGCTCTTCAATGTAACACATGAAGGAAGGGCTGCAGGCTCAAGGCAAACAGGTTCTGGATAAAAACCCAAACCCTAAATCCTGACTCAGCCTCTGCAGTGACAACCTTGTTTCTGGTGCGTGTTCCCAGAAAAGCTGAAGATACAGAATTGCAAGAGGCAAATTAGGAGCCTACTTTGAAACAGCTTGCTCGTAGTCCCAGCTACCTGCTCTATATTCATCCTAAACAGCAAAGGCAGGATCACACATGGCTTTTATTTCTTAAGATTTGCTGAAGAAAGTCACTTGAATGAAATTAAAGGTCAGTGTGTGCTCTTGATAAGTCAGTATTTAATTAAAGCTATAAAATAACTGAAGACACAGAGTGGCAGAAGGACCACAACACCTCTCTGCGACTTCTCTCCAGCACCACTTCTGCCCAGTGCCCGCCCTCTATAACCTCATTCACTGCATTAAAATAAATAAAAATCTGCCTTTCAATCATAATCTAATGAGCTCGCCCTACTTGCAGTTACTGTTATCTCTTCCTTCATAGCAAAGGCTAGCTGATGACTTTCATGAAAGTGCCCTGTAGGACGAACTCACAGAAATAGCTGCAGAAACCCTTAGGGATAGAAGCTCTTCATAATATATGGCATGCACAAAAGGCAATGCATAATACATACAGTACACAACGCTAGTGGGTTAAATGTCAGAAAAAGAAGTACACTGAACAGAGGCCTTGGAAGAGAAATGATTTATGGAAGCAATTCCTGGGACAGAAAGATGAGATGAAAACGAGCCACAGATCTCTCTGTATCAGCTTCAGAGCAACAGTTTAATTTCTCTTATGGTATTGGCTTTATGAGAGCCAATTGAATCAAAAATAGTTTTTAGCACTAAATTATGATTTACCACCGTTTAACTGATATCACTTCTGACAACTTTTCTCTTAAAAATGGGAAAAAATTCCCAAGCCCAAACTGTATTGTACTGATGCAACTGTGTAAAGGTTTTGTACATGCCTTAAAGTTTGGATGGGAATGGCTATGGCAGAAATTATTTCTGAAACCTTTCACAAGCAAATTGAGATGTCTCAAAAGAAAGTACCCTCATGGAAGAGAAGGTTGGTCAACTACTCCAAAAGACCAACAAAAAGCTAGTTGGAGCACCTATTCCAAGACAAGTGTGCAACAATAATTGTGTAAAACAGAAAGGAAGAGCTCTCCTGCCTCCACTGCAGCAGGCATTTTCCTACTCCTTCCCAAAAAAGAGGTGTGACTTCCTCACCCCCTGAGTATCCCACACTGTGGCAGGATGCTCTCCTTTATATTTCACAGGAAGCAGAACCACAAAGGCCTTTCCCTCTTGCAGCCTACCTAAACTTCTCCAATGCAGCATTTTGGGAACCTGTCCTTGACATCTCCCATTTGCAGTAAGGTCACATTTACTAATCTGGCCTATGGATGTCAACAAAAGAGTTTTTAAAATGGTTTAAAAATTTAATGCAATGAAATGAACACAAAGAAACGGCTTTGAAGTGAATTGTTTGCTGTTCTCAAAAGACAATCTTTGTCTTACAGATGTCCTGCAGAGACTCAGAATATAAGAGATATTCCTACTCTACATTTTATTTTGTTTGCCTCTCTTTTCACCACGCTGGTAAAGTTTCAGCAGCTGATATCAGAGCACCAGCCTTGTGAATGGGTCCTCAAACACACATCTTTCTTTTTTATTTCTGGTGGGTTTCATGAGGATCAACCTGAAGATCAGAAGTGTCTTGCCCCAAAGATTGCCAGCTGCATGGGTTCATCCATTGCCTGGTGCACATCTGCATTTCACTACTAAAGCCTTCACTTTCTGTGGAAATTCTCACTCACTGCTGCTGGCTGCACTGCAGACGCCCAGTTAACAGCATCAATCCAACAGCAATGAACAGCAGACGGTTACTTTGAATGCAGAGAGAGCTGACACAGTTTAAGATGTGGCTTATTGGAGAAGACAAGTCATCATGATACAAAGCACAAGGCACATCTTTCTTACTCTGCCAGAAATAGTTAAAAGGGGACCAAGAACTCTTCAAGTATGAGCACTGAAGTTATTTCTTAAATAACTGTGGCAGGCATAAATGAACACAACTCAGGCCCTCTTTCTTCAGATTAACACAGTGTCCTTGAAGAAGAAAAAAAAGCCTCAAGCCCTCAAACTTGTAATAAAATCTGCAACAGCATCTCTTCACTTTCATTGTTTTCCTTGTGCTGACACTGCTGTGATAACAGAAAACAGAAGAGATGACTGTGTAAGTGGAATCATATTTATAGTGTCTCAGCTACATTTTTCCATATGGTTGGATTTGGCTCCCAGAAAAGAAAGATCCATAAAACAGCTACATGCCAGTACTAATTATCTCTCTCACTGTGATTATTAATCAGCTGCCTGATTTACAGCTGGAAGAGTGGGATACCTGATTAACATAGGCCAGTCAGAAAGTGAACCCAGCACTGGTTGGTGGCTAAGGTGACCTATAGATTTATGTTTCTTCTCAGTCACACTGAACAGTGAGTACATCTGTGCAGCCGTACAATTCTGAAACAATTTGAGGGCCAAAACCAAAAAAGACAAACAGACATGAGTAACGTGTGTTGTACAGTTCATGTCATTAAAGCAGTGTCACTAGGTGTGTACAGGAAACTCAGAAAATAGTTTCTTCTCTTTGACTGGCCTCTTTTATGGAGCAGAAAATACAAAATCCTGGCTATATGAGCCAACCACCAAGCAGTGAGAGGGCAGCAGTGGCTGCTGAAACCTTACCCAGGGCTGCAATTATGGCTGGCACCAACATCATCAGCTGCAGGGCAAACCTTGCTCCATGCCCTGCTCTGCATGCAAGGGAGGCTCTGCACTGGAAGCTTCAGGAGCAGCACATCCAAAGTGATGGAGCCAGGAGACCCAAAACCCCATGGCTGCCTTAATTTGGTGCTACCATTTGTAAAAACAAGCTCCAGTCAAACTCGAGGCTAATGGATCATTTCCACATCAAATAAAAACAGTGGTTTGAAAACAGAGATGCGTTTTCCTTGCAGCATTCCTTACTTACACAGAAAGGGAGGGCCTGAAAGTGAGGTTGACCTCAAGGATTTCCATTACCCAAGCTGACACAGGGGAAAAATGTAAAGGCAAAACACAAACAAGGACAACTGAGTGGATTGTTTCACTTCTAGTGATCTAGATGAAACAATATCACAGACAGAAACTGGATGTGTATACTTTAAATGCATTTGCTCTTTTAAAAACTCCCTGCTTTCTATCTGTGTCACTTCACAGGCTATTCTTCTTTCTCCCTGTCTCACACCTGATTTCCTGGGCAGGAAACGGAAAAAAAAGTGAAGCTAGAGAGTGACAGTGCTTGTGAGCCAGGGCTGGCACAAATAAACAGAGCAGAAGTCCTCCCTGCCCAGTTCAAGTAGTGTTTTCCCAACCTCACTTCCAGTGCACTTAGACTTTGGTGCCGTTTTGCTTTAATGCACAGACACATTGTCTGAGTGCAATTAAGAATAATGTATACAAAGCATTCAGGATTGCCCAGCAGAAGAAAATACTGCATAATGGGCTGTCATCGCTGATTCAAAGCTAAACCAAGATCGGGGTAGACAAGTATGTTTCAGCTATGCCCTCACTGCAAACAGTTTCATCCGTGTGTAAGTTGGGCTTGTCACAAGTATGGACCAGAAGTATCAACAGTGTGTATCACACCCTGACCCCATCACATAAACTTTCACAATTGCTCTAGTATCCCTGAACTGATCCAGTGGAAAGGCTGACGGAGAAGGCAACCAACAAGGAGTGTCCTGGATAACCTGGTGCTGGTAACCTCACTTGTGAGACCCTGGTGAGAGGCTCTTACCGCACCTGGCAAGGGAGGGCTTGACTCACAGAAAGGTGTTGGCAACTCCTGCCCCATGTGAGTCATTCACACAGCATGTGCATCAGCTGTGACTATAGCCCAAACATAACCCAAATACCAACCGTACAGATTTCAGGCCAAATGCCTAAACTCCCAAGCTTTCTGAAAGTCACAAGGGAGTGAACCTACTTGGTCAGTTCTCAGGCAGAGATGCCACCAGCTCTTCTGATATTACTTTTGCTAATAGTGTACCTGAAACTAAAGCCAAAACTAAAAAAAAAGTGAGGCACCTAAACGCCAATCAAATTCCATGTTACAGATCTAAGCTAAAATGCAGCAAATGTACAATCTCTCTTTCAGATCAACCATACCAGTGTTTAAGAGGCCAAAGACATCAATATCTTCAGCAGTGAAGGTGACCAATACCCTGCTGCTCTTTACACCCAGTGATGCTGTATCATCCTTGCTCAGAAATCTGGCTTCTGTAAATCCTGGCCCTATGTACAAAATTCCTTGGTTTTGCTATACACGAAAATCAATCCTGAAACAGCAGTGTTTTTTTCCTTGGTAAT